AGTCTATAAACTGGACCTAAAACCTGTGATGAAGCTAATGTGGTCTATAAACTGGACCTAAAACCTGTGATGAAGCTAATGCAGTCTATAAACTGGACCTAAAACCTGTGATGAAGCTAATGTGGTCTACAGACTGAACATTATACCTGTGGTGAAGCTAATGCGGTCTACAGACTGGACCTAAAACCTGTGATGAAGCTAATGCGGTCTACAGACTGAACATTATACCTGTGATGAAGCTAATGCGGTCTACAGACTGGACCTAAAACCTGTGATGAAGCTAATGCGGTCTACAGACTGAACATTATACCTGTGATGAAGCTAATGCCGTCTACAGACTGGACCTAAAACCTGTGTGTCTGACAGAGTGAACACTACCTTTGATGCCGTGCCAGAGGAGGACTCTGCCTTGCCAAAAGGCATCTTAACCAGCAGCTTTCCTGGAGTCTTCTCAACAACTTGTTTCATGGCTACGCCCTCAGTAGCTTGTCGCATCTTTCCACTGCCTACACACACACATACAAAAACACACAAAAACAAACATAAACACAAAAAAGATGAACAACTGCAGAGGCACCTAAAAACCCAGGTTCACTTCTGTCATCACTGAATACCTTTAGGACGTCCACGACCTCGTCCAGATGGTTTCACCACCTTTGGTTTCTTGGGGGGGCGCTTCTCACGACGGGAAGGACTTCCTCGTCCAGTTACAGTAAAATCAAAGTCATTGGGGTCAGTGGTTGTGTTGCCAATCTTCTCAAAGTAAGCTATAAGTTCCACCTTTGAACGAAAGGCTTTTCCGTCCGAGCTTCACAGCAGGAAAACAATAAAACAACATCAGTGCAATGTGGAAAAACCAACATCAACACTTAATCCAGATGTTTACTGATAGAAACCAGCACCAGGTGCAGTGGACTTACTTGATCAGATAGACATCGAACTTTCCAGCGGAGCGTCCAGACTTCCTCTGCTTCAGTTTGCGGGTCCAGCCTTCAGGTAGTGAGGGGTCCTCGTACATCGGCCCCCGGTCCCGAATGATGGAGCGCCGCTGCCTGGGAGATTCTGCAGACTCACTCCCAGGAGCAGACTCTGATCCTGGTCCCGACCCTGTGTCTGACGGGCCTGGCACCGGTTCAAACACCTGCAGAGAAAAAGTGACGTACAACATCTGAACCTCATTCTGAACCATGTTCTGTTTGGTTGAGGATCAAACATCTGTTCTGAGGTCACCTGTTCTGTACCTGGCTCTGTGGCTCCGCCCTCGAGGCTGTTGAAGGAGTGGCTGTCATCTCCAGCACCCGCTCCACTTGGCGACGCTCTTTGCGAGTCTTCTTGCCTTTACTGTGAGAGGGGGGCTGGGGGTCAACTTGTCCCTCGTCACCTTCTTGGCCCTCGTCTCTGTGGAAACATTGGACCCTTTAATGCTTCTTCAAAGCTTCTGATGAGACTAACCGTTACTTTGACAAATCCAGTTGAAGATCTGGTAAAGATTAACTCAAATGAACCAGAACCAATGTTTGATTATCACCTGCCWTTGATGGGAACAAGCATGTAACTATTTGTGTTTGTTTCTGTCTGTCTGTTAGCTAAATACTTCTTGAACCAGTGGGAAGATTTTAATAAAACTCTCTGAAAATCTTATTCCATGGGCAGTGCACATCAACTCACTGACTGATTTCAACCCATCTATACAAAAACAGGTACAGAGCATCTGGACTATGTGGGAGTTTGCCTCTAAGGTCTACATGTGTTTTGTGGACCTGCAGAAGGCTTGTGACCCAGGACCCACAGGAGTGCTAGCTAAGCTAAGATATTAAAGGTTTCTTGAATTAAACCCCTAATTAAAAAACCTGATCTTAATTCAGGAGTTCTGGCCAACTATAGACCTATATTTAATCTATAGACCTGTATTTAATCTATAGACCTATATTTAATCTATAGACCTATATCTAATCTATAGACCTATATCTAATCTACAAACCTATATCTAATCTATAGACCTATATCTAATCTATAGACCTATATCTAATCTATAGACCTATATCTAATCTATAAACCTATATCTAATCTACAGACCTATATCTAATCTACAGACCTGTACCTAATCTATAGACCTGTATCTAATCTACAGACCTATATCTAATCTATAGAACTGTATCTAATCTATAGACCTATATCTAATCTATAGACCTATATCTAATCTATAAACCTATATCTAATCTATAAACCTATATCTAATCTACAGACCTATATCTAATCTACAGACTTACAGTATATCTAATCTACAGACCTATATCTAATCTATAAACCTATATCTAATCTATAAACCTATATCTAATCTACAGACCTATATCTAATCTACAGACTTACAGTATATCTAATCTACAGACCTATATCTAATCTATAGACCTATATCTAATCTACAAACCTATATCTAATCTACAGACCTACAGTGTATCTAATCTACAGACCTTTATCTAATCTATAGACCTATATCTAATCTATAAACCTATATCTAATCTATAGACCTATATCTAATCTACAGACCTATATCTAATCTACAGACCTACAGTGTATCTAATCTACAGACCTACAGTGTTTCTAATCTACAGACCTTTATCTAATCTATAGACCTATATCTAATCTACAGACCTACAGTGTTTCTAATCTACAGACCTTTATCTAATCTATAGACCT